GACTTATTAATTTCAATGCTCTAATAATATTTTGAAAGTAATATTGAAACATATTAGTAATGAAAGACATATGCGTTGAATTTTTTGTATCAACTTAGATGAGACACAATTATTTTCATGTATGCAATTGAAGATAAATACAAACACAATTATATTCATGAAATGCAACATTATTAAAGTAAATGAATGCAATGAAAAGATAATATAATTATTAATCGAGAAGATGAAAAAACATGATGTTTAAATGACAAAACAATTATCCACGTATAGTAAAGAAAACTCAACTTAAGCATAAAAAATGTACATTGTATTAAGTAAGTCATGCAAAATAACCTAATAGCATCCTAGAGCTTCACCTTTTTTATTATTTCACATACATGTCCTTTTTGGATTACGACCAAAAGTTGTATAGTTGATAATACAATTTTGTAGTCCAATTGCATTGTAGAATAGTAATTTCTTATTTTATCTAGAGCCAAATTTGAGTTGTAAAAGACGAAAAGCTTGCTAATATTTATAATAATAATCATATAAATATGACAATTTGAAGTCGCCTTGCAAAAATAGCAATTGGCCCCACTACCTTAAGTGTAACAAAAATGCTTTAAAACAATTTTTTTTAAAAATAAGATACAACAATAATTTACATTCCTTTGTCATTAAAAAGGAACTAAGCGTATTTCTTTTTTATTTTAGTTACCAAATATGAACGAAAATAGTGATGTTTAACCAATAGCATCAATAAGGTTTTTCCAACATCATGGTCACATTTAAGTTAAAAATAATTACAGGATTTACATCATAAGCACCCCAAAAACTCAAACCATCATAAATATTGATGTAACAAAACTAATACAAGAATAAAATCCAAAACATATGGTAAAAATAGTTTTTCCTAAGGAAATAGAACCAACTTGATGGTCTAGATATTGGAATACATAACTTTTTAGACTCTGAACAAATAATGTTCCATTTGTTGGGGCAAAAGACTAGCTAAGATTTGTATGATTCACAATATAGGCAGCTCATAATAATTTAGGCCTATATTTTCATAACAAAAAGAAAACCAATAGTTTATCAAACACATAATAGTAACATACTTTTTCTTAGATGAGCAATGCTACTTGCCCACCACAAAAGTTGTTATTTTCTTAATTATTTGCACTCCTTTAAAGGTGCATATGGATATCTAAAAGTTTCAATGGTGAAGTCTACAAATTCTTAGGGAAATTGAAGTTGATCCATTATCACACTAGGTGGAGCAAGTGGCATTTTCTGTTTTAGATTATCAATACCTATATTGATTTTCTAATAGGGGAAAAGAAATTAGAGTTGAATGTACCTTTAAAAGGGTAGATTTACCACAACCATTAGGGACTAAGAAACATCCATAACTATCTCGAAAAGAATCCGAATTGAACAATCCTTGAGAATTTGCACCATTTGCCTTGCTTTATATTAACCAGAAGTTAATTTTACAACCTTCGATAGCAACATTTTCAGTTGCATTGTCTCTGCAACCAAAACAACAAAAACTGAAACTTCCATAAGAAACAAATATAAATTGTTTGAGAAAATGCATAACTGAAAAGAACTTTATCGTAATGGGAGCTAGGGGAAAGGGCGTAAAATCTAATTGAAGAAATTGAGTGAAGGGGGTAGATTAGGCATAAACTTACGGACTGTGTAGCCTAGATAGTATAATCCACCTAAGATATTTCGTAATGTTAAAAAATATAAAATATAATAAGATGCAAAAGAGCAAAATAACTAAAATAAGAGATAGAACTTGCAAGCTTTGTGTCTCAAATTCACCAAACCTGTTATAGCCAAATTGGCGAGTCTTTCAATGTTCTTCATCGTCGTCATTTATTTCTAATATAATAACGATGAAAACTCAAACTTCTTAAGGGTAAATTTATGCATAAGAAGTCAGGACCCACTTAAGCAGCCATGCGTGCAAAGCATATGGTAGGCAGTAATAAAGGTTAGTGAGGTGATTGATTTAATCGATTAAATTTATTTTTAAAAAAATAAAATTTAAATTTTATTAATAATTATTTATTAAAATTTATTTTTTTATATTAAATTTAAATTTTATCAAATTTTTTTAAATATATAATTTATAATCATTTATTTTAAATATTAAATATGATATATTTTATTTTAATTTAAAAAATTAAATAATTTATCTATTTCCAGATTATTTTACCCAAAAAAAAAAAAAAAAGGCAAGTAAAGGAGATGTGTCTCACACCAGTCCATTGTCACGCTCGTGCTCGTGAAATTATTAGTCACGGCAGATGCTACCATGTGTTTCATTAAAACTTGGCTTTACTTATTTTACCATAACAAAACAAAAATAGCCAGAGTAAGGCAGCATCAAGCATTGATGAGTTTCTGTTTAGATTTGTTAAAGCCTGGCTGCCTGCTCTCCCAAGGGCATTCTTCAACCATATATTATTAAGATATAACGTTTTGGTTTTCCGTTCTTCAAATTTAACAACCCAACCAAGTTCCAAAATAAGAACAGAGATCTACGATAAATTTAGAAAATCACATATACTAATTCAATCTTAAGACATGGACCAGCCTAATAAAATGTAAAAGGGAATACCCCGTCAAAGTTGTTTTAAATTCAGATGATAGTAACAACCATGTGAGAAAGAGAAATAATAATAGTTTCCATTGTCATTCAACATCGCATAGGCCAAGAGTTGAAAGCACAAGAAACACCGGACGCATATATCAGTATCAAACCAACATAGAGATAATATAACACAGCACAGATATAACTAATAGTTCATCAGGTAGGATTTTCAATTTGGAATAGGAGAGGCTAGACCCCCAGAAATTTTTGCAGATGCAACTTTAAAACCATAGATTTTGATGTTATCCTTCTTCACAATGCCAGCCTGTTCACAGAACAAAAGAGAATGGTGATTAAGAACTTGAACAACATGCATGAACTAAGCAAACAAAGATAATTGCTATGTTGAATCTTCTTGCCAGTTTTAAGAATATCTAAACTAAAGAGTAACGACAATAACCTGAACAAGAAAAGTGGAGACATTCTTCCTCTGATCGCCTTGAAGTTGAATAACCTACACATAAACCAAGTAAATAATAAACATAACAATGGCAAACAAAGACGGAGGTAGCCAAGGTCAGTTTCTTAGGAGGTTAGACAAACACCTGCCCTAACTCAGGGCCCTGGACAACAGTGCCATTGCAACAGAACTCCTTCATGAGGGCCTTGAGAATTTTGTTATAGCTGAATTGTGTCTTCAACCCCTGGACAGTGGTCAGGCGTTCCCAACCATTTCGCTGAATTCGAATGTGCACATACTCCTTGGCACCAGTACCAGGGTCTTCAGCATTTGCATCAGCACACGGACCTAGCAACGCAGCACAGCATACAAGTTAAATTTTCCATAATCACAACAATTTAATATAATGGCGTAGAAATCAGCATGCTACCCCTGAGACGAAGGACAAGGTGGAGGGTGGACTGCTTTTGTATGTTGTAGTCAGCAAGAGTTTGGCCATCCTCAAGCTGCTTTCCAGCAAATATAAGCCTCTGCTGGTCAGGTGGGATCCTTTCCTTGTCTTGGATCTTGGCCTTAACATTATCGATTGTGTTGGAGCTTTCCAGCTCAAGGGTGATAGTCTTTCCAGTAAGATTTTTGACAAAGATCTGCATCTGCTGTCAACAAGAAACTTGAAATTAATTTATAACTTCCAAAAATCCATAAATATGAGCAAAATAATAACTTTTTTTTTTCAAAAAGAAACCAATTAAGAATTACTCAAAGATTTAATTTGGCATAGATGATACCCTAACCACAGATCAAACAATTAACAAAAACTAAAACATTTGACCATGCGTATTTATAAAAAATAAAAAAAGAAAAACACAATTTTCATACTAACGCATAATACATCAAACAAGTGGAATCAAATGAATATTATTGATTCAAACTATCAACAAATAAAGCAACATCAACAATAACCTACAATTTAGGCCAATCTCCCAAATTTGATAAAAAATAAATCAGATCATAAAATCAACCAATCAAATAACAAACACAAACAAACTTATAATAAAAAGCAAGTCATCTTATTCAATAATAATCAAATCCTAAAGCTAGATCAGCAATAAACCATGAAACCCTACAATCAACAATATAAAATTTACAATCAAATTAAACGACCAAAACAAAGAGATTCGAAAAAGATAAAATCTTTACAAAGAAGATGTGAATATTTTTATCAAAATCGATCGAATTGATCATATCGATGAATCCAAAAACCTAAACAAATCGAAAAGAATCTGCCAAAATTCAAGAACTGGAAAAGGAAAAGAAATTACCTTTAGAGAGAATTCGAACCGAGAACTTTGATCGGTGAGATTTGATGGATAAAAGAATCGGAAAGCGTTGATATATTTAGCCAAGAAACGAAGGCAAAATGGAGCGAATAGTATGAAGCCGCGTGTTACGTGATTATTGGTTTTCTTTTGACGATTAGATGACGAAAGATAGATGCCGTACGTGTTTGAAACAACGAAGAAATAAAGGAATATTTGTGATGATAAAATATTATTACATATTTGGAACAATAAAGTGGGAATTTACCAGCTAAAATATAAAAATTGCTTTTAATTTAATAAAAAATATTATTACACATTGGGAATGACATTTGAAAATCCTGAGTTTCAAATAATTTATGGTTGTAATATTTTTTTCAATTTAATAAATATAAAATTAAAAAATAAATTAAAATTTAAAAAATATATTTTTTATTATGAGAACATGCTTTTGCTTAACATCAATTAATTAATTAATTAATTATGATAATTGGAAACGATTTAGTCAAGTTTTTCAAATAGAATAAAGGTTGATTATTTTTATGGGTCAAAAGACTTTGATTTTATTACCTTGTTATTTTTTAAATTACTAATTAATAATTTAATCAAACTGTTGTGTGTAATTTATTAATAAAATATTAAAATTTTAATTTTAAGACTCATAATCTAATTTTATTTTATTTTATTTTATCAATCTCAAATATAAAAAAGAAGTACTCTTGTGGATCTTACCCATTTAAAATATTACTATATAATAAAATAATGACAAGTTGATGAATATTAAAAAGATGATGATGAATACAGAAAAACCAAGCTGTAATTATATTTTTAATAGTCATCAACTTATTGTTGTTATCTATTTATATTGGAGATTTTAAACCAGTTTTTAAACAACCTTATCTACTCAATTTATTATTTTGTTATTTGTCACCTTTGGTTTGTGTAAAAAAAAAAAAATGGATTTCTTTGTTGCCTTCCAAATAATGAAATGAAAGAAGGGGAAGGTGCCTGGCATGGCAAAGTGGATGAAAGGAACGGATTATAGAATAGAATATGATTGACTCAGGCAATAAAATTTGGCAACTCAATTGGAATATAGTTAGGAAGCATTAGACTCAACCTGCTTAAGCCATTAAACAATTAGAACAAACCATAGCTCAGGGTAAGGAAGGATAGGGAACAAATGCGCAACCTTCATTTCAACAAATGTAAATCCATAAAAGCAGAGTTGAAGTGAAGTTAGCTGTTCAGATTCAAAGAAACACTCTTAACATAATCATTAATCTTCAACCAGCACACTTATAGCAAAATGATCAATTTTATTTCATCTTATAGCACACGGCCTATTGATGAGGATCTTGGAAGATCGTGATACCTGGATGATCTAAGACTATTAAGATTGTTTTGATTATTAGACCCCATTTTCACCTCAATTTTTTTATTAAATAATAGCGTCAAAACCGTAAATTTTATGCAAAAAATTCAAAGCAAATTAAAGAATCCAAATTTAAAAGGAAAACACAGATCTACATGTCAAGTTAAAAAAAAAAAAAGGAAATAGATTTCTGATCTCAGATTGAATTAAAGGAAAACCGTAAAAGTGAAATAGGGAAAATCCCTAACCCTAATTCATAAGATCCTCGAACAATTCAACAGATATATAACAAATCCATAATTAAACCTAACAGAACCGAAATCAAACAATGAAAAAGAAAATAAATTTATTATCTACGATTGAGTTAAAAGACAATCTTGGAAAGGGGAAAAATCCCTTACCTTAATTCATAAGATTCATGAAACAATTCACTAGATAATTAACAAATTCAAAATTAAATCTAATAGAACCCAAATCAAAAACTGAAAATAAGAAAAATAAATAAATAGAGAGAATTTAATTACCTTGAAAAAGGGCTTCTATCGAACGATTAATCTGCTGCAGATTTTGATTTTGGGATGGGAACTGCTAGGCTCGATCGCCCTTCATTTATAGGCCCAATTGACACGTCAAATGACGAAATAGGGCTTGGGTGAAACCAATGGGACTATGCCACGTGTTATATTTAATGTTCTCGGCCTGGCCTGCCTGGATTCTGTTCGCGGAAGGCTAGATATTTTTAGCAGACGCGGTGCATCCACTACTTCACGCTCCTTTAAAGCGAGTGTATACACGCGCTGTTATGATTGGGTTACGTTAACAATATGGAGATATAAATATAATTAACTTCTTTCATCCCTTGTTTTTATTGCTTAGCTTTTATCTAATTAAATTTGATTTTATATGAATTTTGCATCTACCACCATACAATATTTCCCTTTTTTTTATTGGCCAAAACAAAATTTCCTTTTCAACGTCGTCATAGAATTATACGTTGAGTCATGAGTGCTACCAAAAATTAAAAATCTGCTGTCAAATTATGCATGTTCTTTCAAATTCAAATTTCTTGTTTGGATGTTGAGAAACTAAGATGAGCCTTAGCTCAAGTATAACTAAATTTTATAGATTCAAGCTTTTTTTTCATGAAATTTATTATTTGACTGTTTTTCTCGTTGAATTTATTATTTGACTCCCTTCCTTTTACACCTGATTTCACCTCTGATGAGGCTTATTTCAATCATTTGCTACTGCTACTAGCTATATAGCTTTCTCTGATATGTGAAGTTTTGTTTTATGGCTTCAAATGGAAATTTCTTTTTCTTACAACCTTAAAAAAATTGTTGAGTAACATGAAACAGTAGTTTTGTTTTGCCTTTGCTCAGCTTTTACATTATCATCACAGTTTTTCTCTTTCCATAATTCTTCTAACTATATCACAATTTCATTGTTTTATTATTACTTTGATTCATTTGTGTGTGTTTTTCTTTTCTTATATTTTTAATTCTTGCTTGCTTTGTTACTCACAAAATTAGTATTAATTGTTCTTTCAAATTCCCAAATTTTCTTGCCAAGCAAACAGACCATAAAATTCAACCAGAATGAGTACGAAGAGGATAAAATAGCATTTAGAACATCTTCTCATCACTGAATTAGTGTTACTTTCCAATTAATCATTGACAGAGGTGGAGGCAAAGGGGTAGGTAGGGGTCACGGCCCCTCAAAATTTTTTCTACACCATTCTAGATCAATAATTGAGTCTATCAAAATTAATAGCGTCACCCATATCCTCATTCAATTCACTATTTAACCCTCTTTTGATTATGATTGCTTCGCCTCTAATCATTTGATCTTTTGTTAACTTTCCTTGAATCATCACATTGGACATGTATGAAAACATTTCGTTGAGGGTCTAGTCAAGTTGAATTGAGTCAGGTTCACGCATTATCACAATCAATTCAACTTGATTTGAAATCTTAAAATTCCTATGTTCTACTAAATGAAAGAATATTATTATACATATAGAGATATTCCTATGTTTCATGATGGACTTATTGTTTGAATGTAATGATTAAAAATTAAAATGCATAACTAATTTACTTGTATTTGCCGTGCTATTTAGAAGCTAGTCTTTCTTGATATCTTAAATAACCATCCCTTCTCACATTATAACTTTGAGTCTATGACTATTGGTGCAACGGAATGAAATTTGAGTTGTAATAAATAAAAGTAATATGAATATTTTTTACTTTACCTAAGTTTTTAGATGTACACATCATATTTGGAGGTGGTCAGCTCAACACAACCGATTGGACTTATTAATTTCAATGCTCTAATAACATTTTGAAAGTAATATTGAAACATATTAGTAATGAAAGACATATGTGTTGAATTTTTTGTATCAACTTAGATGAGACACAATTATTTTCATGTATGCAATTGAAGATAAATACAAACACAATTATCTTCATGAAATGCAACATTATTAAAGTAAATGAATGCAATGAAAAGATAATATAATTATTAATCGAGAAGATGAAAAAACATGATGTTTAAATGACAAAACAATTATCCACGTATAGTAAAAGAAAACTCAACTTAAGCATAAAAAATGTACATTGTATTAAGTAAGTCATGCAAAATAACCTAATAGCATCCCAGAGCTTCACCTTTTTTATTATTTCACATACATGTCCTTTTTGGATTACGACCAAAAGTTGTATAGTTGATAATACAATTTTGTAGTCCAATTGCATTGTAGAATAGTAATTTCTTATTTTATCTAGAGCCAAATTTGAGTTGTAAAAGACGAAAAGCTTGCTAATATTTATAATAATAAAAAACAATTTATTAGTGTTTGAAAGATAATTTTTAACTACATCATATAAATATGACAATTTGAAGTCGCCTTGCAAAAATAGCAATTGGCCCCACTACCTTAAGTTCAACAAAAATGCTTTAAAACATTTTTTTTAAAATAAGATACAACAATAATTTACATTCCTTTGTCATTAAAAAGGAACTAAGCGTATTTCTTTTTTATTTTAGTTACCAAATATGAACGAAAATAGTGATGTTTAACCAACAGCATCGATAAAGTTTCTCCAACATCATGGTCAAATTTAAGTTAAAAATAATTACAGGATTTACATCATAAGCACCCCAAAAACCCAAACCATCATAAATATTGATGTAACAAAACTAATACAAGAATAAAATCCAAAACATATGGTAAAAATAGTTTTTCCTAAGGAAATAGAACCAACTTGATGGTCTAGATATTGGAATACATAACTTTTTAGACTTTGAACAAATAATGTTCCATTTGTTGGGGGCAAAAGACCAGCTAAGATTTGTATGATTCACAATATAAGCAGCTCATAATAATTCAGGTTATATTTTCATAACAAAAAGAAAATCAATAGTTTATCAAACACATAATGGTAACATACTTTTTCTTAGATGAGCAATGCTACTTGCCCACCACAAAAGTTATTATTTTCCTAATTATTTGCACTCCTTTAAAGGTGCATATGGATATCTAAAAATTTCAATGGTGAAGTCTACAAATTCTTAGGGAAATTGAAGTTGATCCATTATCACACTAGGTGGAGCAAGTGGCATTTTCTGTTTTAGATTATCAATACCTATATTGATTTTCTAATAGGGGAAAAGAAAATTAGAGGTTGAATGTACCTTTAAAAGGGTAGATTTACCATAACCATTAGGACTAAGAAACATCCATAACTATCTCGAAAGAATCCGAATTGAACAATCCTTGAGAATTTGCACCATTTTGCCTTGCTTCATATTAACCGAGAAGTTAATTTTACAACCTTCGATAACAACATTTTCAGTTGCATTGTCTCTGCAACCAAACAACAAAAACTAAAACTTCCATAAGAAACAAAATATAAACTGTTTGAGAAAATGCATAACTGAAAAGAACTTTATCATAATGGGAGCTAGGGGAGGGGGCGTAAAATCTAATTGAAGAAATTGAGTGAAGGGGGTAGATTAGGCATAAACTTACAGACTGTGTAGCCTAGATAGTATAATCCACCTAAGATATTTCGCAATGTTAGAAAAATATAAAATATAATAGATGCAAAAGAGCAAAATAACTAAAATAAGAGATAGAACTTGCAAGCTTTGTGTCTCAAATTCACCAAACCTGTTATAGCCAAATTGGCGAGTCTTTCAATGTTCTTCATCGTCGTCATTTATTTCTAATATAATAACAATGAAAACTCAAACTTCTTTTTAGCTAAAAAAAAAAAAAAAACTAAAAATCAAAATAGATCGAAACAATTAATGAATTAGTTAAGAAAAAAATTAAGGTTTAAATGAATTTTCAAGTAAAATTAGGATTAAAACATTTGATTTTATATCTCTCTTTCTTTCTCTAACGATGGATGGAGTTTTATAGATCAAAGATACCAAAAATTAAGATAAAGAAAAAAAGAAAGAAAAATTCTAAATTTTTTTATTAATCATTTTCTTAGATTGAAAGAAAATATAGGTAACAATATAAATTGTATATGAACAACTATAGATGACAAAAAGAGTAAAAAATAAGACATGCAAAATTTTATTAATACTGAAAACACAAAAATTGAGAAACATAGATTACTTATCAGTTTTATCAGATTTTATCCAATCGCCTTAATGCTTAACTCGGATTCCTTCATGGGATTTCTCTTATCTTTGAAAACCCAATTGTAAAACCTAATCAAATCTCACGATAAACCAAATAAAATGCCAACTTTCATAATAAAGAATGAAAAACTAATATGATTCTTTCATGGGTTTTGTTTATTTTTGAAAACCAAATAACAATAACTAATCAAGTCTTGATGACAATAGAAAAAAAATTATAAAAATAGGAATAGAAAAAAGCTAGAGACTTAGATACCACTTACATGAGAATGTTACACTGCCAAAGCTTTTCTAGAAACCCAAGTTATAGAAACAATTAGAGCCAGTATTTGAAGAAAAAAAGTAGCACACAATGGAAAAAGACAAAGAGAAAAAGAGAGAGAGGACAGCTAGAGGCATTACGACGAAGAAAACAAATATGAATAAGCAATTTTTTATGACCCAAATTAATTTTTAATTTTTTTTAAGATTTTAAAAACGTGGACAGTAAAATTGAGATAGAAGACTACTTTTAATATATGTATAGATACTTAAACCAGTTGAATTCAATTCAATAGATTCTATATAAAATTATATATATGAATATTAAACATTATATTTTCATCATATATTTATATATACAAATTAAATATATTAAACAATAAAAATTCTATTAAAATTACTAATATCTTTACTCAAATATTAAAATATTAAAATTTAATTTGATTTATCTTTAAAAAAACTTAAATTCAACTTAATAATAAATGATGAATTAAATTCGAATTGAATATAAATAACTCAAGAATGGTATAAGTTGTCTACATCCTTAGACCCAGCTAATAACAACAGAGTCTGAATCATTTCTTCCTTCAATCAAAAGGAAAAAGAGAAGGCGAAAGAGTTTTGAGTGGAGTGTTACATAGGACAGTTTTGATTAAATGTCAAAGCTTTATTCAAGTCATGTCAAATTGAGACGTGTTTTTGTAGTAGACCATGCATCAATTCCGACCCGAATTTCCATCCATCGCATGACTGACACACAAAAAAATTTATAAAACAAAACAATAACCTAGCATCTGATGCCATGCAGGCATGCACTGCCAGGCCAATGCATCCATATGCTTATATGCCAGCAAAACCTCTGCTTATCCCGTGAAGTTCATGCAAGAGCTTACAGGCATAAAACATATTGATAATTTATATATTTATGTTATATTTATTTTTATTATTAAATATATATAAAACATAAAAATTATTATATCATAATTGATGTTGATATATCAAATATAAAATATATTAAATTTATATATGATTTTTTATAATATTTTAAATCATGTCTTTTTAAAAAAAAATGTTAGAAGCACTAAAAAAAAAAACAACCATCCAATGACATTCAAAATTTTATAAAATCACGTCAGTTTATTTTTGTAATTTAAAAGCCAATTACCAATTAAGATGGTTTCATTTTTTTAAAGCCAAGTTTTGTTTTTTATGATAATTTATATTAGATAACTTATAAAAATAGGTATCCAATTTTAAATGACAAAAATAAATTAACATAATTTTATAAAATTTTGAGTGTTTGGGTGCGACTGCTGAGTCGACTGCCCCTAATATTCCCTTTTTTTTGTATTGTGACTAAAATTATCAAATCTAAATTTAAGTATTCACAAATTTAAGGTCTAGCTAGTTAGCCCATTAAAATAATGTTTGGGCTTCATTTATGTAATTGAACTTGGTTATTAGATATTTGGGCTGTTATTAATGATATGAGTTTGTATTACAATGTAAGATTCTCTTTGTCACCCAATACCACACTTACTTTTGCTTGTGAACTGTTGGCTCTTTTATCTTTTTCCACTTAAAATAGTCTCCATACCCTAACAAATCAATGACATAGATATCAATAATGCTAGCTCCTATTCAAATTCTATATGTCAATACAATTAGCTTTCTTTTCTATCATTTCTTTCACAATCTATTCATATGTGTTTGGTCCAACATCCTTTCCTCAACATCAATCTAGTAACAATGAAGATAAACCTAATAATTCTTTTGAACTCTTACTTGTAATTTTTTTTTTTCATTTGAAAGATTTTCTCAACCACCATTTTTTTTAGTATCTCTCTAGTTCTAGAATATTTGTCACCTTTATAACCTATTTGATTCTTTAAAAAAAAAAAAAGATATGAACTTGTGATGAAAAGTAAGAGAGAAAATAAATAAAAGGTAATATAAACAAGTAAATAAAAACTCCATTACTTCTGCATTTTTAGTATAAAGTTCAAATTTATCACTCTAGTTAGGGTGATAGATCAAATTTGATTCACAATTGAAAAAAAACTAACAATAAAAAAAATTCTTGAAAAGTTTAAGAATATTGTAAATATATAGAACATTGCTGTTATATATGTTTGGTTCACAAGATTATAATAAAATAAAATAAGATAATATGATTATAATCTATCTTATGTTTAATATATGCAATGATTAAAATAAAATAATTTTATTTATTGGATCAAAATTATCCTTCCTTTAAGTGTATATAGTTTAAATTTATTGATGTAATTTTTAAAAATATGATAGAATATGTATGTTTAATCTCATAAATTAAAAATAATTCTCTCCATTTTAAGAGGATTGAATCATGTAATATCGAGAAGATAATTAATCCTCCTTGCAATCTAATCACTTTCTTTAAATATAAATTAAATATAAGATAAAATAATAATCATTTTGTTTCATCTATCATCCTTTATATACATCAAACATGCCCGAACGAGCTATATTCATTTAATTATTATCTCTTACTTATACAACTACTTAGCTTTCATATTAATTACTTATCACTTTAATTTAAAAAAAAAAAGTAATTCGATGTCAACATCCAAAATTTGTAAAGCCACTTTCAACATTGAAGGGGATGTGGATATGATTGTAAGAATATGAAATATTGGAAATCTTATACAAACACTTCTTCTTCATTAGGTAGCAGTCACACAGTCATATCTTCCATTGCTCTATCTTTTATATTTTCTTGCCAGGCTTATAACAATTGGAAATCTAAAATATCTTAATTAATTATACCATGATGATATGTAAAACAATTTTTGCAATATTCTTGATTCTCATTGGCATCTTGAAAATTGTAAATTTGTAATGGGTTGCTTCAGTCAAATACATATATATTCAAGCAGATTGATTGTTTCTGTATTTTATTAGTTGGATTCTGTTTTGCTGATACTTTTATAACTTGATTTTATTTTCTAAAAAGTTGCTATAACTAATATTAAAACACAAATTCATAATTGATTTAAAAATGATAAATAATCAAAAAGTGTAAGATCATATTATATGGCAGGGGAAAACTTATATGAAATTTTTTAAGTGAAGTTTGTAAAGTTTTTTTTAAATGATTTAATAAAAATTTTAATAAAAAAATCCAAATCGATAAATTGATAAAACTTAATATGAAAATCAATAATATATAAAAAATTATTAAAAATATTATTTTAATTCAAATTTGATTGATATTTATTTAACGATAAAAATTCTGTCAATATTTTTATTAAAAATATCTATCTAAAAAAATATATATATAAATTATTAAACTTTAAAAAAAAATTACACCTAATACCTTTAAATCTATCAATTTTTAATTTTTATTTAATTGTTTTTAGTTGAAAATTTCACTAATTTCATTTAAAGAACTTCATTTAAGTCTATTCCTGTTTGGTATTGCATTTGCTCAATTAAAAACCACTTTCAACTTAAACACAATACCAAACATAATACCAAGTTATCTATAATTCTTTCAATTTTTATTAATTAATTGCTTTTGTATTCAAATAAACTCATTTTTTCTTCTTTTTCTCATCATTTCTTTTTTTTTTAGGACATAAAAAACAATAAATAAAAATATAAATCAAACGAAATCTTAAACTTCATTTTTTTTCTCTCTTTTTAAAGGAGAAGCTTTTTATTTTTATAATAATATGATGAATTTCAAGATTACAAATGTAAATATCTTGTTATAATGACTTGCTTGCCTCATTTATTATTATATAGCTATTAATTAATTAGAAGTAATCTAGCTAATAGCTCCATTAGATTAAACCTTGTGAAATGACTTACTATCACATTGATATGTCCCTAATACCACAATTAAGAGCAGAATATTTTGTTTTCAGACAATTATAAATCACACATTTCAATGAATCTGTCTTGTGTCAAAAACTAGATCACACTTTATTTCAAAAAAAAAAAAAGATCACACTTTGTTTGGATGGTATAGGAATCACATTGCATAAAATCCTAGGACCTAATCATATCTTAATACTTTACATTAATTATGATTAATTAATTGATAAATATTGATGTGATCAGTGAGTCCACCAATAAGGGGGGGCAGCCCCCTATATATTGCAGTGATGAGAGTTTTGAGCATTGGCCGGTGAGGAGGGCGGCCAAACTTTGATGCATGAAAGACTAATTGGTGTAAAGACAACCAAATATAACCAAAATTATTGCAGAAAACATGACCCTTTAATTTTCAAAGCTTTGAAACGTTGCAGAAACATTAACAGCTATAATGTCGATACGGGACAAAAATCTTTCATCTGATCTCTCCCTATTTCTGTCTTCTCTGATAGCTTCTTTAGACGCGTGTTCTATGCTTTAGCCATAAGTTCTCTTAGCCAATAGTGTATATATAGGAAAATTATATGCTCAAACTTGATATATGTAAACCTGTCTCTATGGCTGTATAAAATGGATTATTTGTCTTTCTTTCAAAGCTCAAAAAACCCTAGAATATACTAATAATATTGCATTACCTTTTCATGTAAGCTAACAAACGCCTAGCTTTACCCTCTCGTCGACTTTCATTCTATTGCATTTCCTTATATATTTAGTTAAGTAGGTAATTCTCTGCAAAGGATTTTTTTCCTTTGTTATTTGGACTCGAAGATACGAGTATCGGATATTATAGATATGTACTCAACATGAGTAAATTATATTTTTATAAGTTTTTTTAATTTATATATTTGAAAGGTCCAACCTCCATACTCATTTCCGTTAGATATGCGTGACAGACGTATGGATATACTTTAAGACAAATAAAGAATAAAAAATCAGAGCAGTATAGATTTTTTTCTGCTTATTCTTGTTTTGTCACAAGAGAGCAGGCCATCATGAACTAGGAAATTCACCATCATTCTTTCTGCATCCAGCGTTAGTGAAACAATATGGATTCCTATTTGTTTTTTGAAAAGTAGTACATTTGGTATCTTCTAAGCGAGTGTCAATGTGTCATATTTGAAATTTAATTTCTTAATTACATGACTTGAAGACATGATATGATTAGCAATTCAGCATAAAGCCCTAATTTTTGTCATCTTTTTCTTTTTTTCTTTTTTTCCCTCATCTGATGAATGATGTCTTCTTCCATAGAAATAGGGGGAACCAACTCATAATCATATGAATCCAACAACTGAAAAAAACAAACCACAAAAAGAGGCATAGAGAAAAAACAGCCAAAAGAAAGCCTATCATGAACTTGATACAACTCCCAAAAACAACAAATTAGCCTAACAAACATCAAAGCTACCACCAAACTGTGACAACATGATCATTCATGTCCACACGCCAACCAAAGAATCTACAAAACAGTTTACTTAATTATCTGAAGATATATATCTTGACAAAAATCAAGGTGAATAATATGCTTTATTTTATTAATTAACTTGTCAATTTGTTTGAAGAGCTCCCACTTATATATATATATATATATATATATATATATCACCTAGGCTGGTCATCCAGTATCAAAGGAATGCTATAGGAATTCTTGTTCTTAATTAGAATGCATCGCATTATATGAGACTTTACCTTTAATCATTGATTTCCTCCACTCTAATAAAACTTCCATTTACATTTTTGAATATGATGAAATGCAGAAATGGAGTGTGACTGTTGCTTCTCCTTGTAGTTGCTTATGGGCTTGTCTGTTAGCTGCCAAGGGAGATAAGGTGAATAGACACAAATTCATGAAAGCTCTATCAGGTAATTAACAAGGGGATTTAATACATAAGTACAATATCTAATTCACCTAGCTAACACAACACATAATTTAAGGCCTATAAACCTTTTGGTTAAAGGGTCTCCAACTAGAGTAGCTAACCAATTAAAAACAAAACACATTTGCATTGTGCTCACATGACCAAATTAGGGAAGTATGAATCAGTACTAGTACTTCATAATCCAATATGAATCAGTACTAGATTTCTGCTGATGAAATCTAAATGTGTATGTCTACTGCAGTAAAAAGTTAATTGACAGATTGTGACCGCTAGCTAATAAGCATGATCAGCCCCAATGTAAAAAGAGTAAATTCATATAGCCATACAAGGAAATTATGTATAACTATTTTAGCACTGAAAATGAAATTTGATGCAATGTTCCCTCATGGCCTTAGGTAGAAATTAGTTAACTTTTCGGAACAAGTGGATAAACTTGTATTTTTTTCACTATTTGTAATGAAAAAAGTAAAAATAACTCAGTAACCGCAGACCATTAAAACATATAGCAAGCAGTGAGGACATTAATATGTACTATATATATGTATGAATTCCCAATGATCATCGAATTACAAACATACAATAGGTTTTCGTTTCTGGAGGAATCAATTGATCTAAGATCACTGAATTATAAGTAATTCATTGTATGAAATATGCATCCATGTGATTATTTGGATCATTTATTCTGCGATTTTTTTATGAACAGTTTAATTTATAGTTCATATAAATAGTAGTAGTTCTTTTGAGCATGAATTACTTACTCCATGTACATTTGTCTGAAAGATTGAGCAAATAGTGAGGCAATTTCTCCAACTTCCTCTCCCTCATCAATGGCTGTTGAACCTCCATTTTTCGAGAAATACAAGGCCATATTCCAGAGCTCTGATCGTGATGAAAAGCAGAAATTTCCCATGGTTGAAGTCTTTGAAGAACTTGAACTACCTCTGATTGATCTCAGTCATTTGAATCTCGGACCATTTGAGAGACAAAAGTGCATACAACAGATGGTTCAAGCAGCTAGTGAATGGGGTTTCTTTTCAATTGTGAATCATGGGATTCCTCAAGAGCTTCTAGACAGGTTGAAGTATGAACAAGTGAAGGTGTTTCAGCAGCCTTTTGAAAAGAAAACTGAGAAAAATTTTTTGAATTTATCAGCTCATAGCTATCGATGGGGGAACCCTCTTGCAACTAGCTTGAGGAACCTTTCATGGTCAGAAGCTTTGCATATATCTCTCAAAGATATTTCCAAAATGGATGAATACAATAAGCTCAGGTACTTAAATTATTATTTATATTCTACTTTTATGAACCATATGGTTGGACTTCATTGTCTTTACATGAAACATAACAAGGAACAACTTTTAGGTTATTGAACCAAAAATGAAAAACAAAAAAGGGGTTATACAGTTATGTACATAAATATGCAAGAACCAGAATGAATTTACTAATTTTCTTACTTCTATACATCAATTGCTGAAGTTCTAATACATTTGGGTTGTTTTTTCTGAGATAAATATCAACTTGGAGAAAATTAAGAAGATGGTATCTGAGGAACAATTATGTCCTATAATTGCAATCTTATATAAGTAATCTTCCTTTTTGCTCAAAACTAAAACTCAATGACTAATAAAGTTTGAATTTTTCTATAGGTATTGATCAGTTTTGTATTAAGAGTTGAATTTAGCTAACTACTATTCTTATTCATTGCTTGCTACTCATTATTGTTCATCCAATGGTCAAACAATTTATGATTATTTACTGTGATTTAATATCATGAATTACTGGTTTAATTATTTTGCTTAGCGTTCATAAACCTTACAATTTGAAACAAATAGTTTGCTTGATTTTAAACCATTAGTTTGAACTTTGACACCATGCCTCATGGAATCTTTAATTTGGAGATCTCTGATCACCATTAAGCTCATTAAGTACATAAGTCTTTAAAAATAGATCCGAGATCTAGATTTTAACTTGCAATCCCTTTTTCTATTTTAAAACTGCAACTTCCTTTGTAAAGAAAAACTTAATTAACCCAAGTTATTGCAATTGGTATAAGAGTCTGGTCGGTATGTTGATCAGTAGAGAAACTCAGACTCAGGTGGGACCTTACAAAAAGCATGGAAACCCTTAACCTCAGATTCAAGCTGCTCTTATTGTAGAATACTTTTAACCTCATTTTGGGAGAAATGGCCCAATTAATATATAGTTTAAGTTCTTATTTGAAGTTAATTTGAATCCTTGATTATCATAAATCTTATATTATACATTTATAGTACTTTAAGTACTTGAATATATAGAACACAGGATTTAGATGTCAAGGGACAGAAAGATACCTAAAGTTTCATTTTCAAAACATCTATGCCCAATATTGCACATTACACTCTCAAACCTTATCTTAGTCGCATATATCTTTTACGTAGTTGCTTGATATACTTGGCCTTATGCTACCACCTACCTGCCAAACATGTCCAAAACGTGCAGCAGAGAGATGCCTCCCGCCATGGCCCCAGCAGCTGTGCCTTCGCCACCAGACCACTGTCACTGTGGTTGTCACCAACCCAATGTGCTTGTAATTTGCAAGTGATGCTATGACAGTATGCGTTAACCATCACCCTCATTAGCTTTTTGGCCTATCAGGTCTCAATGAATGTAGTGTTACAGCCTTCCTGGGCAAGTGATCGATTAATAGAGTCCAAAACTATGATTAATTTCTTTGTAATTATGTGAATTTTTAATTATATATAACAATTACTGAAGACCCTTTATTTTTTCAGGTCTACCATTGAAGAGTATGCAGCAAAAGCTAATATACTGGCTCAAAGATTGGCTGAATATTTAGCAAAACATTTGGGTATCAAACCAAGTTATTTCCAAGAGAACTGTTCACCAAGCTCTAGTTCTCTTCGAATGAACAGATATCCTCCTTGTCCATACCCTTCCATGATGTTTGGCATTATTCCTCACACTGATACTGATTTCTTAACCATTTTATCCCAAGACCTGGTAGGGGGATTGCAATTGATGAACAGAAATGGAAGATGGGTTAGTGTTAAACCCAATCCAAATGCTCTACTTATCACCATTGGTGACTTATTTCAGGTAAAATATATATATATAGAGGTAGTAATTACCGATGACAATGACATATTAATATATCAAAGTTATTAAATATATTTTACCAACTTTTTTATTGCAGTAATTAGATTTTAATCTTTGTCACTTTCAAATATAACAAAATTAAACCTTTTCTTTTGGATTTAAACTTTTAATGTGATGATATTTTAGTATTTGATTAAATGATAAATAAATTTTTTTTATGTTATGTTCAAATAATCCATCATCATCTAATTTAAAAGTTGAAATTTTGTTAAGTTAGGACTTGATTCTCAACATTTACAATTTTTTTTCTCAACTCTTTAGACTTCAGTCTCTCTTCTATGAAAAAAAGAGTTTAGTTCGAATTCTCTTAAATTATTATAATACCATTTCCATGTAATGCAGGCATTGAGCAATGGGATTTACAAGAGCATTGCACACCGAGTGGTAGCCAAACAAGAGGTTGAAAGGTACTCAGCAGCATACTTCTACTGCCCCACCAACGAAACAGTAATAGAAAGCTGCAGCAAGCCAAGTTTATACAGAAACTTTAGTTTCAAAGAGTATAGAGAGCAAATCGAAAGGGATTTAAAAGCTACTGGGGACAAAGTAGGGCTTACTCGGTTTCTTTTGTGAAGGAAATTTCATTATCACCATGCTTTCTAAGCTGCTGCTGCGCCTGCCATGACAGCTTAGCTAGCTAGTCATGACAGTACAGTCTCATAGCTCATGACACTTATATGAAATAATTGTACTTTTTCTTTTAAGTTTTTGTGGGATTCAAGTGCTGCAAGTTTGGCCGTTATTGTTTTAACATTTTCTGCAAGAAGAATAAACTATATATGGATATATTATTTGACTGTATTAACTAATTATTGCCATGAATCCCATTTGTATGGTTATAAATTGAAGCTTCAAACTATATATATACATATATATATAGTTTTTTTATCAACATTATTTTTTATCTATATTAACCTTAAGCCTGATTTTATTATGATAACATTATACTATAATTTCTTCACATATATTTTCTGCATTCAAGTATTTGATTCAGTTAATTGATGCATAATCTCTCTACTCAAAAGTGCATGCTGCCAAGTGCCAATGGCATTTAGACACTAGTACAGCCAACTTTGGATAAGGTGAGAACTAGCTGGAAGTACTTTCCTCCGTGTGGTCGCAGATGAAGGGCAAAGAGTGGAAGCTCGTAGCTAGGAGTTTGGCTAAATTGCCGACATGCCCGTTCCTCTCCTCATCTAACTAGTAAAGACAACAAACATGCTGGGTAGATTGCTGGAAGTACTTTTCTCCAAATGGTTGAAGATGAAGGACAAAGAGTGGAACAAGCTTCTAGGAGTTTGGCCAAATTGCTGCTTGCTTGGCAGGTTTGTGTTGGCCTCACGTTGTCTGAAATGGGAAACATGATGTTCATTCACATGTGAAATGACCTTATTTGCCTCCATCAGAGTTGCTTTAGCTACTTGCTTTGCTATATACCAAGGAGCCCCTCCTCGGCCCTCCCCCTTCCCCCACATCCTTTCCCTTTTCTCTTCCGCAATGCCACCTAGTTACGTACGAGACACAAACATGCTAGTCATCAGGTTGGTGTTTTGTCTTGGGTTATTCGGAAAGAATAGAACTCTTGAATTTTCAATCACATGTCACGACCATTCACCTGTCGGACATTATATGGTCCTTGCCCTCGACTTTAGTGGAAAGGTCGACGTGATATTTTTGTAGTATCCAAGATTCAAATTTTTACTCTCGAATCAACATTATTGTAAAATGCATCAAATTGATGTAAAAGAACATATTTGTAAAATTTAAAAAAAAATTAAATTCAAAGAAAATCTGAAAATATTTTAAATTATTTTGAGAAAAAAATTCTTTTTTCCTGATACATCCTCACCAAAACAATCTTTTCCCATCAATTTTCACCACTCAAACAATGTCAGTTGCAAAAAAATTCATATATATTTGCTTATTGATCACAGGTGGCTCTTACTTCTTATTACAATACCTCAACTATTTATCTTGTGTTTTTTAATGCAAAGAAGAGTCCAAAAAAGAACAAGCTCGAGTCCTAAGCTATTACATAATATTTTTGTCCATTTGTTGCCGACTGAGTTGCAAGAAAATGTAGACAAGTTCGATTAGTTGTCAAGTGGGACACAAAAACTTGAAAAGAAAAAGCACCCACCTTGAAAAAGAACATTTAATGCACTTTTCCGATTAAATAGAAGAAAGAAATAGAAAAAAATATGGTACTTTGCAAATAAAACTCAAATGAGAAAAGGGTACTTTGTTTCAATCTTGGCCATACATTCTCTTCCACATTTTGGGTTTCTTTTTTTTCAATCTTATCTGTTCTGATCTTCATCAATCACATATCTACACGTGCTCTTTTTTTTTCTTAATTTTTTTCCTTTTTGTTTGAGGTAATTCCAAAAATGTATTTGTTTTTTCTTTCTTTTCTTAATAAAGTTTTATAGTATATATTAATGTAGTAAATAGAAAATAACTTCAAATTCAATTAAATTAGGGAGACAGATGAGGAATTTCATTATTCTAAGATCAGAGGAAATTACAAAAGTCAAAAATACCCAACAAATTAAGAGTGGGACAAACAAAGAAATTTTACAAATCTTAATAAGGTAACCTTAAGCTATTAAAGCAATTTTTTTTTTTTGCTGTTAATAAATAGTTAAGTTATTATTTAAAATAATATTTTTATTGATTGGTATTTTTTATTCGTGTTTGATTATTAAAATTTAAATTTTGATAACTAAAATTAAAAATTAAATACTCTACTAAATCATTGATATTTAATTTCATAAAACCCAATAATGAAAAAGAAATTACTTAATATAGTAACCTTAGAAAGTATTTTTAAATCAAATTTCTAATTTAACCATTGTCATTTTGATCTTCAAATAAAGGCTGGCCCATCAACAACTTAGGTGAAATACTTATAGGCTAAATCATAGAGCCTAATAAGAAATTTTTTTTTTTTTCATTTTGGTATGTACAATTAAGAAATTCAACCTATAGCCCATTTCTCAAGGCCATTTTTGGGGCCTCCTGTTGTTCTTGTTTTCTTATAGGGAGGGAGAATTCAAGATATAAAAAAATAACAATGAACTCAGAAATTTAATTTAATTTATTATATAATTATTTTTTTAAAAAAAACATTTAAAAGATTTTAAGTTTAAATTTTAATATTTATAATTTTTTTTATTTTTAAATTACCACCTCTTGTATATATATAAAAAAAGTAGCAGCCATTTTAAGTTTGATTTTTTCATTTTGGTAAACCAACAAATTTCTAACTTAAGGGAAGAAAAAACTAGTTAATTTATATAAATTGATATCTCACATTAATTAAGTTGTACATACCATATATATTATGCTAATTAATTAATGTATATCTTTTAATTAATATATCATATAACTAAAATCTTCAATCATATATTTTTTTAATAAGGAGCGTTGCAATCTAATAATAAAAAAATTTGTAAATATTAAAATTTTAAGAGTGATTGTATAAACCAAATTAAATTTCAAATTCAGTTGTCATTTTAATTTCTTGAAAAAGCAATTGTGGATTCTTTATCATTTACCTACGTATCTAATTTGAAGCCTGAAACACATCTATCCAAATTCTTACCTCACATGTCACAGTGGGAACATAGGAGATTTAAACTACCAGAAAATTTTACCTAAATTGGCCATTTATTAATTAAATAATCTTTTTGATCGGCCAACAACATGAACAACTCAAATCTCCATGTATAGTTGGATTAGTCAACCATAGCCAATGACCAAGTTGCTAAATATCAGTAGCACGTTAATTTCTAGGTAACTTACACAACATGACATATGAATTGACCTATTATTTTATCAAGTGAAGTCTTTTTTTAATGAGACAATAGTACTATATTCACATTGAATTAAATATCTAGTTTATTTTCAATCAATTTACTAATTATGAATCCAAATCAGCCTTTATCACTACCTCAAAAGCTATTGGAAGAGAGTATTTGTTTGATAATCATACATATAGCCTTCAAACTTTGTTACATTATTTTATAAAACAAAAATTTGCTAGGACAAAGCAAACAAATAATTCTTTTTACTATATATGCTTTCAAAATAACATATCCTTAGCCCTTTCATTTCCATCACTTCTTTCTTCTGAACCTAATAACCTTTTGGAACACTTCATCGGAAAACCAATTTCAGTCACCGGAAAACATGGGAGATTCCGGTAATAAAGGACGTTGTGGTTGTTGTACCTCCATCCTCACTTTGGGTCTAGCAGCACTTTCCATTTGGCTATATCTACGTACTTCAAACCCCAAATGTTCCATACAAACTCTTTACTTACCTTCACTTGATAGAACCTTAAACCTCACAACTGATCCTACCTTAAACCTCACGCTAAGGCTAGACAACCCTAACCAAGCCAAAGGGATCAAGTATGATCCTTTGATCGTGACAGTTTATGATTTTCCAAACAAAAGTAGTGTCATAGGAAACATTTTGATGCCAGGGTTTTACCAGGGTCACAAAAAGAAGGCAACAAAGCCTGGTCAAGGCACTGCTAACACGACAGTGGCTTTACGGGCAGTTTCGGAGAACGGTACAGGGGTTTTCTGGGTGGATATGGCAACGTCGGTGAAGTTTAAGATCATGTTTTGGTATACAAAGAAGCATAAGATTAGGGTTGGAGGAGATGTGGTGGTCAACGCTAGTGGTGTTAAGGTTGACCATAAAGTGATCAGGCTCAAGTCCATGGCACCAAAGATGGGGAGTTTTTGTGTTGTGGTGGTGGTGGAAGCTTTGGTGAATTTCTTGGTCTTTAATCTGCTTAATTTTTGGTGAGATTTTGGTTTTTGTTTTTGATGCTGTATTGTAGAAGAGAAGAACAAAAATGGAAAATGTTCATGTTTGTTAGCAACTATGAAGAAATATTGATTTATGAGAAAATTTTATTAGTGAAAAATGTGACTCTTGTTGATATGACTTGTTGGTAGAAAATAAATTTTTAATTTTAATAATCAAGATTTAATTTTTTAAATATTAAAAAAATGTACTTGAAATAAATTTTTATAGTATATATTAGAGTAATAAATAAATTCATGTACAAAATCACTTAAAATTTAAGAAATAAAAAAAAATAATTAGGGATAATTATCAAAATAAAAATACTTGCTATAAGGGATTGATACAAATTGTTAAATTTAAATTTTAGATATAAAATATTTAAATTCGAATCTCATAATTTTTTGTTGGTAGATGATTCGTAAGTTTAAAAATTTTAAACTATTCTTAAATTTATTTATAGGTCAGACGGTTTACTCTGGCATTGAAAATAGAATAAACTTCTCATATTCTTAAATTTCTTTTGAAAAAAAGTAAAAATACAAAAAAAAAAAAAAAAGAAGTTGCTAAACAAAGATATTTGATAAAGCCTAATTATTAAACTCATGTCTCCAAATTTGCACCATTATTACGATGTTCTCAAAGGGACAGGCCCATAAATTCAGCTTAGCCCATTTCATAGGTCCATCTTTGGAGCCTCTTCTTCTTCGTTTTTCGTCGGGGGGACGTAACATTATAGATTCAAAAATCATGACCCAATGAGCGGCCCATTCATAGCTTTCCTTTTTCGCTATTTCAAGGTTAATTTATCCGTTACCAGGCGAGGACGGTGTAGATCAGATTAAATTAAATTTTGTTTTAATTTTTTAAATAATATATAGTATTATAAATTTTTAAAATTCAGTTAAAATTGAATTTTTTAGAAATTAATTTAGATTCGAATTGAGTTTTTTTCAATTTGATTTGATTTATTAATTTTTTAAATTTTAAATTTTTTATTTTATATATATTTTTTAATATATTTAAATACATTTATATATAAAATAATTATTTTATTTTATAAAAATTTAAAAAATATTTAATTCAATTAGGTTTGATTTTTTCAATTTTTTACTTTTCAATCTAAAATTTAAAATTCGATTCGAATATAATATATATTTAATATGAACCGAATAAAAAAAATTTGATCCAAAGTAAACTAAACCAAATATTATGATTTCGAATCAAATTTTTTTAATATTTTTTCTCACTCCTAGTCCTCTAATTAGTAAAATATCAAATTCTTAATTTGATAAATAAGACTAAAATTTACATAGTTTTAAATAAAAAAAAAAAAAATTACAACTTTGGGAAGGAAAAACTGGTTAATTTATACTTAATATCATACATTAATTAAGTTATACACAACTTGTATTGTGCTATCTATTAATATATCTCTTTTAATTAATAGATCATGTAAATGAAACTTTCAATCATCATTTTAATTCCTTGGAAAACAACATTAACATATCTGGGGTTCTTTATCATTTACCTAAATATATAATTTAAAAGCTTGAAAAATATCTAATCAATTCCTACCTCACATGTCAAAGTGGCAACATGGAAGGTTTTAACTTTTAAAATACCAAAAAGAATAAACAAAAGATGCTCATGCAAAAGCACAAAGAAAAACCCAAAAGTTTTGTCTAGATTGACCATTTATTAAATAATCTTCTTATTGCATTTAAATATTTAATTAAATTAGATATGATAATCTAAAATATAGTATAATGATATGATATGAATACAAAATAAATAAAAAACACGAAAATGACATAATTTAAAATTTTAATAATAATTATATATAAATTTAATAAAATAAAAAAATACATTTAATGTTTTCCTGCTTACACGAATTTTGATACGTAATTTTGATATAAAATATAACATAAATATACGAATTTTAATATTTTACATAATATAAATACATGAATTGCTTGGTGTAAACTTAATCATTAATGCATGCTTTTTTTTTTTTAAGATTTGAATTTAAATCTCGTCATATAATAAAAAAATAATAATACTTGAATAAATCTTTAAATTTTATTTAAAAATAAAAATAAAATCATATTTTTATTGGATGAAATTGATTTTATGATTGTTTATGTTATTATAATTAGAACTATATAAAACATTTAATTTTTTGTTAAATTTTTTAATTGATGATTTAATTTATAAAAAATGTTAATTTAGATTAATTTAGAAGAGGTGCTAAACCATAAATATTTAAGCGAATGCTATTTTAAAAATTTTATCAATTGAATGTTATTCATCCATTTTTAAGATTTAATTAACATAACTATAATAAAACAAAAGTCCATAATTTTAATTTATTTGTATTGTTTAGTAAAATTCAAAGGTTTACTTAGATATTAAGAAAAAAAAAATCAACCACCAATATAAACAACTTAAGTCTCCAATTCTCCATAGTTGGATTAGTCAACCAATGGCCAAGTGGCTGGTAGCATCACAACATTTTCCAAGTAACTTACACAACATTACACATGAATTGACATTATTTTTATCAAGTGAAGTCTTTTTTTAATGAGAAATTAGTCGTATTCACTTTGAATTAAATATCTAGTTTATTTTCAATCAATTTATTAATTATGAACCCAAAGAAGGGAAAACTACAACTCTTATCCATATTTTTGTAATCCAGAATAAATTAATTCTACCTTTTATTATGAAAAAAGAAAAAAAGTTTATTTTATTTTCCCTTTTTTTCCCAATTTTTTTCATTCAATCATACTCTGTCCAAGCTTGAAACTTGCCTGGTCTAACAAGTCCAAACCTGAAACTTGCCTGTTCTAACAATTAAGCTTCTTTAAGAGTCACTGTTGTCCAAACCGCCCACCATTTTCCCACAAACTCATTTTTATTGGCAATTTTAGTCAACACCACTCTACTTGTCCAATTTTCATTGGCTCAAAATCCTACAAAAATCACAGTCAATGAACCTTTGTCACCCCAAAGGCCGTAGAAAGAATAGTAGTGTTAGTACAATAATGCATGTCTCCTTCAAACTTTATTATTATAATATGAAAGAAAAAGCAAGGAAAAAGCAAACAAATATTTCTTTATATTATGCTTTTAAAGCAACATGTCCTTAGCCATTCATTTCCATCTTTTCTTTCTTCTGAACTCATAAATACCCTTTGCAACACTTCACCGGAAAACCCAATTTTCAGTCACCGGAAAACATGTCGGATTCCGGTGGAGGATGTTGTAGATGTTGCTGTAGCTTCATCTTCACTTTGGGTCTAACGGCACTTTTCATGTGGCTAAGTCTACGTACTTCAAACCCCAAATGTTCACTACAAACTCTTTACTTGCCATCACTTAATAGAACCTTAAACGACAGTAATGACCCTGCCATAAACTTCACGCTAAAGCTAGACAACCCTAACAAAGACAAAGGGATTAAGTATGATCCTTTGTACGTGACGGTTTACGATTTTCCAAACAGAAGTCATGTCATAGGTAACATTTCGATGCCAGGGTTTTACCAGGGTCACAAAAAGAAGGCTACGAAGCCTCATCAAGGGACTGGTAACACGTCGGTGGCTTTAAAGGCGGTTGCAGAGAACGGAACAGGGATTTTCCGGGTGGATGTAGCGACGTCGGTGAAGTTCAAGATCATGTTTTGGTATACAAAGAAGCATAAGATTAGGGTAGGAGCAGATGTGATGGTCAACGCTAGTGGTGTTAAGGTTAACCCTAAACGGATCAAGCTTAAGTCTATGGCACCAAAGATGGGAAGCTTTTGTGTGGTGGTGGGAGCTTCAGTGAATTTCTTGATCTTCACTTTGCTTAATTTTTGGTGAGATTTTTGTTTTGTTTTCGTGTTTTCAGCATATTTTTAGATGTTGTATTGTAAAAACAAACAAAAAGAAAAAAGAAAATGTTGATGCTGGTAACAACTAGAAGTAGCAACATTGATTTATGAAAAATTTTTATTGGTGAGAAATGTGATTGTTTCATTCTCATGAACATTTGGATTAATTGTTTGTTTGATTTGTTTTGAAAAGTAGATGTTATTATGAAATTTTGATTTGAATTCCCTGGAGTTTTTGCAGGCTTTTATAAACTTTTTATTTTGCTTTTACAGCCAATTTCTTGGGCATTGGAAAACTTTGATTTTCTGTTTCTAAGAGCTTTGTCTTTATCTGTCAGTCTAAGTTTTTAGTCCTATCATTAACAAATGTGGATCAAGAAATTTAGCAAATTTGCGTGTTTGATCTTTCGTCAGCTGAATCTATTTGTGCAATGAGTGGTTTAGATTTGCTTAAGATATTTTGCTGCTATATGCTTGATTGAGAAAAAAGCAGGGGGTCTGGACCCACTTGACAATGTGGATCCAAATTGATGGAGTGCTGCTGCAAAGATTATTTTCAACTTAAAATTGTGAATTCAGTGGGGAAAAAAACAGGAAATTGTCTAGAAATGGGCAACGTTTTTCATGTATCCCCTCATAAGTGGGAAATGCATATGCAAAAGTAAAGAAAATTTCTTAGTATCCCCCGTTGATTTAGGTATTTGTGAAGTTTTGGGGGTTGTCTGTTGAGGAAACTTCCCAAGTGTTTGGTTAAGAAGAAAGATTTGATGTGAAGATTCCCTGTAACTCTGCGAGGCTGCCGCGTTTAATGTAGTGGGGTTGGGTTTTTTCTGATATAAAAAAGTTTTAAATTAACTCAACTAACAGGTTGACTGGACTTTGAAACAATGGAATCCAAAGATGCTCAGTCTCTAAATATAGTTCACATTCTGTTGGTTAAAATATGGATATTTGAATGAAGACAAGATCCTGTTTAGTTTACCAAGGTCTTTGTCAATGTTAATTATAGCATATTAACAGGCTTGACTTCATGAGAATACTTAATCTGCATAAAATGCACTTGAAATCTACTATATATATGTATATAGTTGAACAGGATATATCTCAGATAAACAGTATATACTTATTATAGCTAATTACTGCGAATTCTCACATGTAATAATTGGAATCTGCTGAATTTATCATTGAAGCCATAGATGTCTATACGTGTCACTGTCAGTGCAAACCGATCACCAAACTCTTTGCTAGCTCATATCTACAAAATCGTACATGATCACCACTCTGAACTTCAGGTTTACCTGTAAGGCGAATTCCCATCCTGCAGTTTTATCAGTGAATAGTATGCTCCACCACGACCCAAGGCAAATAGTTCATTGTGTAAACCTTGTTCCACAAATTTTCCATTCTTGATAACAGCAATGGTGTCGGCTTTTTGTATCGTTGATAGTCGGTGAGCAACGATTACACATGTTCTGCTGACCATCATCTTCTCAAGTGCTTCTTGAACTAAGCTTTCTGACACACTATCAAGTGCACTGGTAGCCTCATCCAGGAGGAGAATTGAAGGGTTCTTCAGTATTGCTCGTGCCAATGCAATCCTTTGTTTTTGACCCGCTGAGAGCTGAACACCTCTTTCTCCACAATATGTGTCATACCCATCTTTCATCCCACTGCAATTTGCAACACAAAAATGGGCTTTTCGTGGCTACTAAAAGCAACAAAAAATGAACTCCTATTTCTGGTTCTATCATACCTAAGAGAGGCTTCAACAGCCGGGAGACTGATGAATCAGATAATTCTTGGCAGGATGTTTATAGCAACATTTGCTAGATTATCAGTAGATTCAAAATTAACTTCAGTGATTGGTTTGGAGGATTAGGCTTTGACATGATAAGTGCCGCTGGTTCCAATGTGTAAAAGGAGAGGGCCAAGCTTTCTCCTACAGAGAGTTCAGATAATGACCAGCCTAGTCCATTGAGTTTGTACCAATAATTTGAGAGTTTCCTGCTCTTCATTAGTCATTCTTTAGGGTGATTTAGTGTTTTTAATCTTCTAATCTTCAGTCTAATCCTATATTAATGTAACGCCCCAATCTCACATCAGGAAGATGTGTGGATAAGAAATGATATAGATATGTAAAAATTTAATCTTAAACTTGTGAGATGTTTTTTGTAGGACAAAATCGTGAGATTTTCGGGTCAAAATGGACAATATTTCGCAGGTTGGGTACGGATTTCTACAAATGATATTAGAGCGGTCACCAGTCCGCAGTCGTGGGAATCACTAAATGCTACACGATGGTCTGGTGTGATTTTGGTCCTGTGGATGGACTCGGCTTGACAGGAACGTCAAACATTAAAGGTGGGAAGATTGTAACATCCCCAATCTCACATTAAGAGGATGTGTGGATAAGGAATGATATATATATATATATATATGTAAAGACTTAATCCCAAAATTGTGAGGCGACTTTTATAAAACAAAACCGTGAGACTTTCAGATCAAAGCGGACAATACTTCGCAAGTTGAGTGTAAGTCTCTACAGTTAAATATATACAGTTAGAGACCAGACTGCCTACTTCTGCTTCTAGGTAGCAATAGAATTGAATCTACACAAATTACACCTTCTATCAGATTTAAACTTTCCTTATTGATTGCATATAGCAAACAGAACTAGAATGAAAGAGATCACATTTAATTTAATGCAGTTCCCATACCTTATAAATTCAGTAGCATTGGCAAGCTTTGCAGCCTTTCTTATCTCGGATTCTTTAGCATTCTCTTTCCCATAGGCGATGTTTTCGCGAATACTTCCTGCAAACAAGGTTGGCTCCTGACTGACAAGTGCAATATGTGTTCTCAGCATTCTCAAATTATAATTCTTTATATCCTGTCCGTCTATGGATACTGATCCCTTCACTGGATCATAAAACCTTTCAATAAGCCCGATAATGGTAGATTTTCCTGAACCACTTTTTCCAACTAGTGCCACTGTCTTCCCCGCTTCAATTCTAAGGTTCAAACCCTTAAAGATCAAGTAGTCAGGTCTAGTTGGGTATGCGAAGAACACATTTTTCAGCTCTATCCGTTCCTTAATTGCCTTTTTGATCTCTAGCCCCCATGTTTATACAGGATCAATCTCACTTTTCCTGTCCAGGATTGCAAAAACTGATCGAATGGCACTGCTTCCTTTAGATAAATCATTAGTCATGCTTCCGGCTTCTGCAATGACATAAGCAGTAAATAGCAATACCAAGAATGCTTGGAAAAGGTGTTCTGGTGTTATTAACCCTTGTGTCAATAGTCTCCCACCATACCAGAAAGCTAATGCTGTGGAAGCTGTGTTAAAGAATTGAGAGCTAAATAGGCCTATACCTGAAAGCCAGGAGTGCCTGACACTTTCCTCCTATGGACCTTTTAAGGTATCTTTGAAAAGCCCCAACATTCTTTTCTGAGATGAAAAAGCAGTTATAGTTCTGTGGTTTACCACAGCTTCGCTTGCTAGTTGACTTCCTTCCTTTTGTGCTTTTTGAGCCTTTCCGGCCATACTCTTCATCAAAATGCTCCTTGAATAAAAGCTCCCAACAACTAATGGTTGAACTGCAACCATCACAAGTGATAGTCACCAACTAAGTTTAAGTGCTACTGCATAAGCAAAAAGGGACCCAAAAACTGCTTGAACCAGCAATGACATTCGATCGCCAACAAGGGAACGAACCATGTTGGCTTCAGTAGCTAATCTTGTGCAAATGGCTGCACTTGTATTCTCTTCTCCATCAAACCAACTAATCTCAAAAGTCATCAACTTTTCAAGGAACTTCTCCCGTACCCTTTTGGTCAACTTCTCTCCCATGACAGCGAAATTGTAGTGTTGGAGGAGACTTGATGTGAAGTTGAGAGCAGCTATGCCTAAGAAAACGAATGACAAAGTTCTGGATTTCGACTTGATTTCAGATTTGTCTGTGCGGAAGTAATTGATATAAGTAAGCCCACACAGTAGGCATTTACAGGCTGAACTGCTCCTGAGCCAATTGCAGCCACACATCCAATCAAGGCTCTTCCCCATTCAGGTGCATTCATTTTCAACAGACGCCACTGCGATGGAGCAGGATAAGCTAGTTGCTTGAAGTTTTCATCAACACTGTCATCATCAAGATCATATTGGATAGTGTAGGAATAGGGTGTTCCCACAGATAGAGCAGGGCTGAAGGGGTTTAATGCTGGAGTGCTTTGAGCACTTGATATATAGCTCCGTGGGCTTTGTGCAACATGCATCCTGTGGTGATTTTTTCCTCCGGTTTGGTAGTTTGATTCATCAGAAGCTTCATTTTGCAATGCTATTTTCTGTAACTCTACCATCCGGTAGTATTCTCCGCCTTCTCCACCATTCATTTGCATTAGTTCATCATGAGAGCCCGATTCAATTACTCTACCAGCTTGAAGAACCACAATCAGATTTGCATTTCGGATTGTTGATAGGCGGTGAGCAATGATGATTGATGTCCTCCCTACTGATACCTTATCAATTACTTCTTGCTATCCTTTCAGCTTGTGCATCCAGTGCACTAGTAGCCTCATCGAGAAGCAAGATTTTAAGGTCCCTGATTAATGCCCTGGCTATGGCAATTCGCTGCTTCTGGCCACCAGACATCTGAAACCCAAATTGACCAACCTGCAAATCCACATAGTTTTCATGTTATTATTAATTTACTTAAAGCATCTTGAGTAGGAAGAGTAACTTGACAATAAAGTTAGCTTAGATAAAGCAATTCAAAAACAGTTTCTGATCATTGACAGAATAGAAGTTAGCTTACATGAGTTTCATATCCCTCTGGTAACTTGACAATGAAGTCATGGGCATTAGCCGCCTTAGCTGCATCTATTACATCTTCCATTGATGCTCCTTCTTTCCCCAACAGTATGTTTTCTTTTATGGATGTTGCAAAGAGTACAGGTTCCTGACTAACTAGACCCATTTGAGATCTCAACCATTTCTGCTGAAGTCTCGTTATTTTGTAACCATCCAAGAAAATTTCTCCTTCAACAGGATCGTAAAATCTTTGAAGCAATCTAATGGTTGTGGACTTGCCAGAACCACTGCCTCCAACAAGACCTACAGACTTACCTGCTGGGATTCTAATATTCAAACCTTGCAAGACTGGTGAATCAGGTCTTGATGGATAGCTAAAATAGATGTCCTTAAATTCAATCTCTCCTCTTACATATGACAAAACCTTTCCTTTCCTATCTTCTGCATCTATAGTAGGAACCCGGTTAGCCATCTCGAAAATCCCAGTAGCAGAAACAGTTGCCTCAGTGATGGCAGTTAAATTTGGCAGTGCCCCTAAGACACTCCTGCAACATTGGACCAAAATAATAATGAGTTTAAAAAGTGAATCAGGATATCAGAAAATAAAGTCCATCATCATGAAGAAAGTAACTTACAATCCTCCCATTATGACATTGATTCCAGCTACAAAAATAGAGCCACCTTTTTCTTCTTTTTCAGTAACCAAATAAGTCCCTACCCATGCCTGAAAAGCCCATCCCACATAAATGGTTCCCATACTTCCCATCATCAAACCCTTGGCAAAACCTTGCTTTATTCCCAACTCCAAAGTTTTTTTAAGGGCACGGCTGAACTTTTCTAGCATTTGATTCTCAGCTACATGTGAATATACAGTTCTTATGGAGGAAATTGCTTGTTCTGCAATCCCACCAGCAATACCATAAGATTCAATCGTCTTCATTATCACATCCATCATAAGCTTCCCAAATACAAGTCCAGGAACAATGACCAATAACGTGAAAGGAAGAGCTGCTAAGGTAAGTTTTCATGACAATACGAAGGAAGCAACGAGGCAGAAAAAGAAAGTTGAAACAAATGCAAGACAGTCAAGTATCTACAAGAAGGAAAAGAAAAATTATTAAAACAGCATACGGATGAAGAATAATGTTCTAGTTAACTCTGATAACAATTCTTTATTCAAAGTATCATGTAATAGCCAATAAGCTCAGATGTTTACAAAAATGATTTATCTATTGACTTTTCTAGGATTATGGGGATAGATAAACTAAATTATTACTCTTTTCAGGAGAAAGTGCCGTGTTTTCCTGCGATTTCAATATTCTATCAGTTTTGTGTGCAAAAGATAAAATGGAAGCATGATAGTTGATCCAGACTTTGTCAGATATTGCAACTTGAATGGCATTGGCATCAGCAGATATGGTTGACACAACTCGATAAGTTGTGGAGGAGCTAGCTTCCTGCATGTCAAAGAAACCAATTTCGTGTCTAAGGACAGAATTCAGGTATTCTGTCCTCATTCTTGAAGTCTGTCTTTTAGCAGTTCTTGTCCAACAAATTCCTTCTGTAAATACAAATGGCATCCCAAGTATGCAAAGCAGATATTAATATCCAATATTTATCAATCTAATAGAAAATAATTTTTGAAAAGACTCATCTTTAGTTCATAGCTGCAACTCACCTATAAAAGCAAAAAGTCCAACTCCAATTGCAACATAAAGTAACTTAAGTGCAAACTGCATAATAGAATTTATGGTAACAGAGTTAACAAAGTAATTAATTATCATGAACTAAAGATAGGAATCAATTTTATCCATGTAAATTGCTTGGATTGGCTGCTAGCCAGGTCTGAAGGTGATAACAAAGATCTATAATGTAAATGCTATCGATTAAAATAATAAAAAATGTCATTGCCACACACCTTATCTACAGTATCATTTGACAACGTGCTATTTGGATTTCCATATTCATTGATCACTTTGCTAAGTACAAACATTGTAAGAGGGTACTGCAATCCATCTCCAATGCTGCCTAAAGTTCCCAAAAGCATCAACAGCTTGTCCACACCATCAGCATATCGAAACATGCCATCTTTGGCAGCCATATTCTGTTTTCCTTTCAATAGAAATCAGCCCCTATCTTTTGATTTTAATTTACTTCATCAATTCTAGTGGAAGCTTAGATTTCATTTTATATGCTGGACTATGTACTGTTATCCACATTCTACTTGCAGGCAGAATCTGCCTTATTGTCTTACTCTATTGCACTTTTTATGCCATATGGAATGAATTAAGGTGTTTTTAAATTGGCCGGCTTATTGTATATGTTTGGCACCAGAATGAATGTTGGTTTCAATAATTCCAACCAATCATGTAGCCGAGGATATTGTTAAGGCAAATGCAGTAGAATTTTTCTTCTGCAAAATGAGATAGCCCTGTTTTGTTGGGCCAGCCTCATATATTTTATATTCAGAAGATTAGCATTTGTTTTGACGTTATGCCTTTAAGCAACTTTTATCCAAAGAAACAAAAACAAAAATTTAGACTATTAAATTGCACATGGCTTGAAAAGTCATGCAGCTGTCACCTTTGGAAACTGAAAAAACTTGTTTTTCTTTCTAAGCCAAAGCAATTTGTACTTACCCTTCCTTTGTCTTTTTCCTTCATGCAATTCTCTGGTAACATTGAGCTTTGGTCAAGTCACAAACTTGGACGTCTTGAAAGAGTCCATGTTGGCCAATGATATTGAATCTGTCACCTGGAATGATTTTCTCCCATTGTATATTTTATTGTCATCGAGTAAAAGTTTAAGCAAAATCTATTTCAATCTATTAAGAGGCAGGCCAATGAGAATTTGACCCAAAAGGTTGTATATAGCCAGGTTATAAGAGGGCATACACCCCTTTTTTAATAACACAGTTAGGGTTATCGTTAGTCTTTGCCTGGACATCTTCAGGTGATTTTATGGACGCATTCTCTTTTATCTTCGGATGATCTTAAGGATGCATTCTTTTACATCTTTGGGTGATCTTAAGGACGCATTCTCCTACATCAACCGAGACTAACCTTATATTAGTCTTTTCAAAACTTAGTTTCACTCATAATTTTTTTCTTCTCTTTTTCTTGTCAGATCATAGTCTTCCATTTGGGATGCTCTTGATCATAGCAGGATAAAAGGAATCAAACTTCCTTAACGTATACTGGTGTTTAGGTTTGTGAATAACTTAATCATCAAGGCAAATAATTGAAGAGGAAAAGTTCTCCCAAAATGTGATCATGCAAAGGCATATGATTGAGTTTGTCTCAAAATTTGAGTGCCAAAATCTTTTCATGTTCAGATTATATCAAGGAAATAATTCATCCGATTAGCTTAAATAATATGCTAATTAAATTCTTTAGCCTCTCATGCAGAAGACAAAGGATGGGATGAAACTTCTATAGATTGTGAAGATCAAAAGATAATAAACCACCAAAAATTGACAGCTTCTGGCACATTCTGCTGAAGCAAAACATAACTCATTCAATGAAGACATCTCATAACACAAGAACGGGCGTCCAGGCTAATTCCAGATTGCCTATATTCTTTGTTTTATTCATCAGTGCAGCTTGCAGTCACTGAACTTTTTATAACAAATGAAAATGACTGATTCCTGGGTTAAAGTAGAGATATATCCTGAAAGAAAGTCAATCTTCAAACAAGATGCTTCTTTTGTCAGCAGTCTAAATACACTTGGTTATACATATTCACGCAATAAGTCTCAGTCGATAGACAATACTTTCTCATGTATTTACATGAGATTATAACATTCTATAGGCATTTTTTCCACTAATATGCCTTCCAAGACCTTTAAAAAGGTGATTTTGAAAGGGAAAAAGAGATAGCATCACATCTGCCAAGATAAAAGTTAATTTCTTTATTATCAAGCAAAGTCAGTTTGTCGAAATAAGTCATGGACATGCATCAGATGCATAGATAACCTTACACCATCATAAAATGAAAATAAAGAAGGTGAACATTATTGCCATGCAGAAGGATCTTCTTTTTAGACAAGCAACACAAGCTAAGAGCCTGCTTATGGCATGGAGAAAAAGGTGCAAGATCTCCATATGGTGAACATAAGAGAGTCGAAGAGGTTTGTTCCATCCTCTGAACCTCCATTCTGCAAGAAATATATGAAGAAAATGTTGATTAAGAGTTCAAGATGAATAAGTAACAAACCGAGTAAAAATGAAAAATGAAAACAAGAGATATACAGTACAGCGAGGTGTTTATTTGGAACAAAGAAGTGAGTATGTCATATGCTCTTATTGGTGATGTCCTCTATCTGAGGATCCATGCGTCCACCACCTGTAAAAGAAGCAGCTACAAAGTTGATAACATTTGCTATAAATTATAAACAATCTTGGCCTCCTATGCCTTCTTTCGGTTTATCTCCTTCATGCTAAGAAGAGAAATGCATGTGGTAAGTCCATAAAAACTGCTAACTTAAAGCTAAAGTTTGTTTGGTCTCAATTAGAAATTGAAACTGTTTCTAAATGGAATGAAACTAGGATTTAAAGCATAAAATGGACTCGATGAGACCATCATCATATAAAATAACATTTGAAAATGAATTTATTACTTACATGAAAGAAGGCTTTCTGTGTATGCAAAAGCAACCGGAAATTTCTTTTCAGAAATGCTGGATAAATCAAGCTCCCTCCAAAACCTATGGTCCAGATCATAGGTATAATAGTGGTTTGAAGATATGAAGAAAATTTCATTCTCCCTTGCAACTACAAATTCAATACATTCATCATTTGAGAAGGGAACGTGATCACTGCATTTCAGCTCCCATTTAGGCTCATTCTTCTCTTCTAAAACCCATATATTCACAATCTCATCTTCATCATATACGGCAACTAGGCATAAACTGCCTTCAAGATCAACCAAGTATGAATGTTCAGTGACCTCTTTTGGAAGGTCAATAGTTCTGAAGGTTTCCTCTATGTCAACTGTAAGGATAGAGCCAGGGATCATCTGATCTTCATCTGAAGCAATGAACCAACATATCTTTCCATTGACAAAAACATGGTTTGACCCCAGGGGGCTATGGCTAGAACGCATGGGAAAATAAGGTACACGACCTATGACACTCCAGGATCCAGTGCTCGATGAATATACCTCACATTGGCGACGATTAGTATGTGATTGACGTTTAGCTAGAGATATGCGTTTGGCACAGAAAAATCGAAATATCTTGTATTCATTGATTTTTGGACCAAAAGCAACTCCAATGGAAGGATATTCTTCGGATGGGCTACCTTTTGGAAGTAATAAAGCCTTTCTGGTAACAGGATTGCAGATGCGGATTTCCAGATCAGTTACATCCTCAACTATCATGCCTGAGTCTATCTTCCATGGATAGTTGATACAACAGAGCAAACCATCAAAGGAACAAATGATGGTAAGAGTAGAAAGATTGTCACAGTACGGAAAGGTAATTGTTTTAGTGATTTCACCACCACCCTTCACCAAATATAACTTCATCATCATATCCATGTAAGGATAAACTATGTAAATGGAGTGGGTTTTAGACCAGAGTAGCTGCAAATCAATGAAAGCCTGACTACTTATCAACCGAAGCCAACGCTTGCAAACAGATTTGCACACTAAAAGTGATGTAACTGGAAGCCTTAAGAGTATGTTGGCAAGCACATTTTCTGCATATTCTACATCAATCCACTTATCAGTTGTGCAATGAGCACATTCGCTACCAGTTTCACCCATGACTATTCTCTCTTCACCTCCTTCATCCAATGAGAAAACCACATCAGTCCAAAGATTGACACAAGGGAACCATCAGCAAGATTAAGGCCTAGCAGTTGTTTTACTTTAACATTCTGCAGATATCAGCAACTTTTTTCCCATAACAAGTGCTAAGATTAATGATAGCTAATATTTGTACATTATAATGGAAATATTTTCGATAATCTCCTTGTAAGATATCAAAACACACTATTTTCCTGTCGAACAAAAATTTATCTTGAAAATGAGGGCAACAGATTGAGGAAAGTTAACATGCTCTATGGATTGAATTTTCGTTTACCATTCAGTGAATATCATTGCCTTTCCATTCAAGATATAACTGTTACATGCACTACACACATACTTTCACAAGGAGATATAACTCAAAAATGGGGCTTTGTTGGGACAGATTTAAATTACACTACAGACACATCACTGTCACATGCAGAATTTGGATTCAATCCCATTAGTCTGATTCAGGAATAGACATAGTTATTATAGTAGCATAATCGATGCATCAGCATGAAACAGTTAAAAGTAGAATGGGAAAAGAAAAAACTGGTAATCTACCAAAGCAACCAAAATGCTATCAAGAAAGCAGAGAAGGAAAAAAATGAACAATAAATACTTGAGAAAATTCAGGAGGAAAATTCACCAAGAAATTCAAATGAAACCGGTCTACTTTTGACTTTTGAATGGTCTGACAGGCCTATTCTTTCAATCAAACTAGACCAATGACAGTGAACATACTTGCCACAATGTTGCTCATCAGCAATTTCATATCCTGCCAATATAGTCATCCATATTTTAGTTTTCTTCAAATATAGTCTCAAAATATTGGTTAAATAAAACAAGCAATCTTAGAGAAAATTATGACCAACATGGTGAACAATATTAATAAAGCCTAGATTTAAAGAACCAAAATTCCAATGACTGCAACCAAGGGGTAAAGTTAGCCACAACTCATAATTTGTAATTAAGAATCCTCATGAGTCCCGCAATTTTGAAAAGACCAAAACAAGAAAGATCTGCATTTTTCATCTTTCACACAACAAAAAATTTAGCAATCTAATGAGAAAGTGACCTGCAATTCTTCACAGCTCACCCAAAACTCAAAATATAAAGTTTTTCCCTACTAGCAAGGAAATCACATGCATAGATTTTTTTATTTACAAATGAATGATCAAATGGCAAGAAACCACAGAAGCGGTTTGGGACTCACAGATCGTGTTTGGTGCCTCTGGCTGCTTTTGAGAAAAGAGATTAGAAAATGCTTCTTAATGAGGTAGAAAGATAACTCTGAAACTTATAACGCTCATCTAGCAACAACCTTTTCTTCAAAGTGGCAATCTGGGAGTCCATGCATTTCGACAAGTGGTAGGTTTGCACTCAAATAGATGAAAAAGAATCCCAATGGAAAAAAAAATGCTCAAATCATAAATTTTCTACCAAACTTGATGGAATGACCTGGTTGTGAAAGTTTAGCAAGTAATTAAAGCTCATGCTAATCCTACAAATTGCCAACCATGACAACCAATATATGCCGTCGTTGGCAAATAATAACTTGATTGATAAGAATACTTTTAAAGCCTCTCTATGGAGAAAATATGTAGCCAGCTACATGCCTACGTGTAATAGTATTCTATATGAAGGTGCTCTCATAAAATCCACAAACTGAAGGCTAAAACAATAATACCTTACCCCAATTGCTTTCAACAAATTCCATGGTCAGCCTTCACCTCAGTTCTTTACATGTTGATTTTCAAGTTGAAAGAGTCGAATATAAACACATTCATGTGGAAAATAGCAGTCTGTCTAATAGACAAGTTGATGAGCCAATGAATCTCTTCAAAGTCATGCTTCACTCGTAAAGAAACACAGGAGAAAACAGGGAAAGGGGATCTCCAGTTCAGAATGGGAGAAATCATGTGAAAACATAAGAACATAACTCATGAACACAATGAAACAAAGTGAAAACAATACTGCAAACAGCATCCTCTAAACTTCAAGTCTCCTACAGCCTTTAAAAATGTTTTCCAAATAAACAACAATCGTTTAAAAGAAAACTCCTGTTTTGTCTCAAAACCAGCTTCCTCACTGAGGTTGGTGGAATTGTTCAATCATTGCTCCAGACTAATCTATGTTATAAATAAATGACATACATCATGCGGTCTAGCTTACTTTGCAATTTACAAGTCACCAGCCACATGAATCATGTACAACTAGGAAGCCTAAATTGTATTTTGTTGGTTATATTCTACCAGAAAATATCTATATGCAGTCCTGTGCTCACCAATTCATGGGAACATATCTAATGACGAAAATAGGCACATTGTAGTTGGTTCAGACAGAATGCATTAATCCCGACACAAACAGATATGCCACACAAGATTATATGCACTAACTATTTAAGGTTTTTTGTCTCCACATGATTCACTTGTTAGTGTTCATATTATGAAATGGTCCTTTTTCCTAAATATAGTTTTATTGATAAATGTAATATTACTTCCTTTCTAAATCTACACAAGCCCGGACAGAAATATTAAGTATGCTGCCTGTTTTTTCGCATTAAGAAAGCAATATGATTATCGTTTTCTTAGTTTGAGCTAGCACATTTAAATTGCAGTTATTTAGTTTCTTCATAAGAGAATCTGCATCTATTTTCCTCAAAGAGAGGAGACTTATTCATGGCTAAGCCCCATAAAATTCTGGCATTGGTGCAGGTTATTAACTTCATATTAAATGCAGTTGATCAGAAAATCAAATAGATATCTAGTAATGAAAAAAATATTCTCCATATGCATATTTCTATCTCAAAACTTTTGCAAATTGTGAAAATCTAACATTTCCGTTCAAAATTCCCATGAAACAGTAGGTCTATAATAGTAATAAAACAAAACTATCTAGAACTGGAAGGAAATTGACAACAAAAAGAGGCATTTACAATCATTACAGAAAATTCCCCAAGTTTTCATAATCTAGTTTTCTTCAGCTTCAGTCTTCAAACATCATAATATCAGATAAAATTACAAAAAAGTAGAACCAAAACCACATGAAAAATCATCCAAATAGCCACAATTAAACCTGTTTAACCAAAATATGGGCCTATAGCTATATCATCAAAAAGATCATCTAATCTTCAGAATTTCTCTTCCCTAGAAATTCACACATAATGCAAGGCATTAATTTAACAGTTTTACCATCCCAATACAAACAAAACCAATATCATACACAAAATTATAAACCCACCAAGAAACTAAACAGGAAACTGCATTCATTAAGTCATTTAACTACTTTCTGCTCTTAGAAAAACAAAATTTTGCACAAATTTTGTTGCTTCAATTAAACCACAACAATCTACAGAACAGAAAATCAAGTGCCACCCATTTCATTAATTCTAAAAACTTACTCTTTTTATAAACATGCATGGACATGCAACATCAAAAACAGCAATAGATGGAAAAACCGAGTTGAGAAAATATGAAGAGAAAATGTAAGAACCTCACCTTTCCTCTCTGCAATTGGATTAATGTAGAAAGTTGACAGTGAGATAAGAAAACAAGAAGAGATTTCCCAAGTGTTTTTATTGGTATGTGATGGTGTTTTTGTGAACATTGATGAAAATAAAGACATTGGTGTGGTTTGGTTGTAGATAAAAAGGGCTTTGGTATCATGCAAAGTACACGTACTGAACTGAACTGAAAAAGTGGTTTTTGCTGTTTTTCGGAACATGATGTTAGTTAAGGGAATGATTCCCTACACTTGGTTACAGAGAATTGTAACGTGAATTAAAGATCTGGACCGTTAATAATGTTCAAGTACAATCTGGCGCTCTGGCCCAAAAATAAAAGTTGGTCCAGTCTAGGTGGGTTGTTCTTAAGATATTGACACAAATGCCTGTGTTTTAATGTCGGCATTGGTGATTGGGTTTTGTCTTTTTTGTTGGGCTTTTCAAGGTTTATGTTTGTTGGGTTTGGTTTCTCAGCTTGGGGGACTCCTACAATGATCTTTTATGGTAAGATCCCCATAAATGATGACCCTCAACAAGATCAATTACAACTCTTGATTCCTGTTGAGTAGGAGACTAAAGTAACATTCGGTTTATTACATGGGAGAATTACAATAAGGGTTAATGAATAAAAAATTTCATGATTTCATACTGAGCTCATATTAAAAGGTCTCAGTGTTCTAAAGGCTTGTAGACTTAGAGAGGATTTTGAAGTGATCATCTTGATTTTAGTGTTCTATCTTTCATTGCTTTGAATATTCTAACTTGGTCAGTTCAAACTCTAATAGTGAGAAAAAGTGCATTGGTTATAACTTTTATATATTGATAAGGAATTTAAAATTTTCAAAAATGTATTTTCATATATTTATTGTGTATCTCTATTAAATTATAAATATCAAATTATAAATATCAAATTACTAAGTAAATATATTTATTTTAATTATTTTTTAAAATGTTAAACTACATTAAGGTAATAATCTAAGTAATCCAATCTATTATTTTTCTTGTTATTTGTTCTTAGATGGGAAATAGGCCATTTTTATAATATAGTTAATACATTATTATTATTTTCTAAATAAAAAATAATTATTATATGTTATTGTTTTCTTCAGAGTAGTTCAGTTTTTAAGTTGAACTAATTTTTGTGTGTTGACTAAGGATATTTTTGATAGCTTTGTGGTAAGGATCGTGTCGTACCTTTGACTATTGACCGAACAAGCGTCAAAACGACATGACAGGGAAACCTTTATAAACGTGAAGTTGAAAAATACTAAGTCAAATTTTTTCTTCAGTTCAATTCTCTTAATATGTCAGGTTCTAAGTAATTGAAGAAATTTGAAGTTGAGAAAGTCAAATTTTTAATAGTTCCACTTGAATTAACGGGTCAAGTAGTTCACATTGGTACCTACCAACTTCAAAATAAAACACCCAATATGAAGCTTTACTTGTTAACGGTTCCAGCTACGATCATTCA